TCTCCGACGAAGTCCCGTGATGATCCTCTTCTGCGATGAAGTCCCACGATGATTCTCTTTTTCGACGAAGTCCCGCGATAAAATTTTGCAATAATGCTCTTCTGCGACGAAGTTCCGCGATAATTCTCTTCTGTGATGAAAGCCCACGATAGTCCTTTTTTCCGACGAAGTCCCGTGATGATCCTTTCTGCGATGAAGTCCCACGATGATTCTCTTTTTCGACGAAGTCCCGCGATAAAATTTTGCCATAATCCTCTTCTGCGATAAAAGCCCACGATGATCCTCTTTTTCGACGAAGTCCCGCGATGATCCTCTTCTGCGATGAAATCCCACGATGATTTTTTTACGAGATTTACAATATTTTGTAAACAACAAAATTCTTTGATAATTTCATCTTATGATATAGTCCCGCGACAATTTTCAATGAAATCCAATGTTGAGAACTCTTTCTTATGATGATTGCATGACGTTCCTCTTCTACGATAGAGAGTCTCGCGATAGTATTTTTCACGCTTCTTTTTGCAACGAATGATTTTCTTTAGTAACAAAATTGCATAATTTTTTATACTGATTTCTGTAAGTAATAAAATCCCACGATTTGTTTCTATAGGAAGATTTCATGATGATCTTTTACAACAAAGTCTAACGATCTTCTACGATGGTCTTGTGATGTCTCCATCTTCACATTAAGACAAAAGATGTTCTCTTAGTATTCAATATTTCTTCAACAATGTAGTTAGCGAGTGATTTTTCACGGATGTACAGCATTTGAAGAAATAAAACTGCAAACGAAACAAACATTTTTTATAATTTCTTTTACACAAAAAGACAAATTTGAATATTTAGATATAATCATATTTAATATAAATAAAATCGCTTACTTTTTTTAGGAGAATGGGTATGCCGTTTTTCTGGAACTCTGCTCATTTCGCGCCAGCTGTTGAAAAACCCAATCCCTTGCAAGTCCTACGATTCTATTTTCCATCGGAAATCCTCTTTTGTGATGAAATCCTAGTTGACGAAGAATCTCGCTGATCTAATGGGCGGTGAGTCACATATAACGCGAATTCTTGTGTGTCCAGATGAGGAAAACCTTTAAGATCTCGAAGGCAGCCAACGACAAGAGAAATCGAGGACCAAACTTGCAAGCTCGCGCAGTCGAGCAAGTGTTTGGAGAGCCAGCGCCGAATTCGAAGGCGGACGATAAATCACGACATGGTTGACCATCTTTGGTACCTCTCTAAAACACTCCGTTAGTAGGAAAAGTTTTAGAGACGGATAACTCACACGTCCAAGGTGCCCCTTTGGTCTCGATGACTGCAACGGAATCTCAGGAGCGAGAAGAAAAGTGAGATCGAGCCTCTTCGGGATATCAAGAGAAATACAAGGCTGTTCATGATGACGCAGGAACGTAAGTGCAAGTCGTTTTGTTCACGTTTGTACTGTTGCTCTGTTTAACTCCACTTTTAAAACGCGACTACTTTATACACAGGCACCTCACACTCTCTTCCAATATTCTTAAATATACATTTATAAAATATGGAAAAAAGAAAAACATGAATATACCTCATTAAAACCAGTTAAGATATATACGAGTCCATTTAGATCCAAATATACTAAATGCAAATATAACGAATGTACTAGTAGGATAGAATTGGAATCAATCTGAATTTCGATATATCTAGTTAACGACTTGATCTAATTCAATAATCCAGTCTATAAACTTGCATTAAAAGAAAATTGACATGAAATTAGTTTTTACTTCAAATCTTCAATTAACTGTAAATGTTAAATCATTCTAATTAATCTCACAATGAGATCTAGCAGTTCTTTAAGAAAGCCGATACTGATGCTAATCTTTCAACGTTCAATAATTAAGCAATCGCTTAAAAAAAGCCAACGCTAATTTTTCGATAATCAAGCATTAAAAAAGCACGACGGCAAAAGGTTCTTTTCTGGAAACCGTTACCTGACTGAAATTCTGCAGCTGTTGCTTACCTCTATCACTGCTCCATTCCGTTTTTCTTAACAAACTATTATATTTCATCGAGCCATGCTATCATCTTCCTTTTAATTATACCATGAATTATCTCATCTTCTTTCTAATTAACTCTATTAAAGCCCAAAATCTGCATTTTCGGTCCACACGAGTCCACGTAACTTATGCCAAACTTTCGAATTTGCATCTTCTTCGAAAAAATTGTATTTTTCAACATCGCCCTCTGTTGCAAAACCTAAAGCCATCTCTTGAAGAGACCAAGTCCTTGTTGAAAGATACAATAAGACATTTTTGGCGATACAGCTTGCCAGGAACTTTCCACCGAGGAACTTTGATACTTTGCACAATCTCCTCTTTTCATAACTAGTATATCAATTTTCATATATTTCCTTGCTCCCTTAGGAATATGGTGATACGTAATATGGTAATACGTCACATTGCGAACCATTGCCTTCAACCATCAAACCATCCTACATCCGTGACTAGAATACATTTTGAGTGTAACGACTGTCGTGATTTAAATGACTGCTTTCTGTGAAAAAACAAAATGATATTTGACCCTCCCCCCCCCCCCCCATGAGCGGTATTTTGCCACCCACATTATACATCTTCCAGATGTCCTAAAAAATGACCGTAAAGACCTACATATTGACAATCATAATATAATTAATGAAATATTGTATACCTTTCTTGCTCTTCTAAGAACTTTTAAAATCAATATCTTCATAAACAATGCGATAGTCTTTTCCTCTTTTCGAGTTAGAACATTTCAAATTAATTATTTGTTATTCAGTTTTCGTGAAGTACCCTCAATTCTTTTTATATATTGCTCCATATTGGACAAATAGGCTGTCGCGATTTCTTCTACAAAATAAAAATTTCGGAGATACACGCACATCGCGACAAGAGAATTTCGTTCTAATGAAAATGAAGTGAAAAGGAAATCTCCAAAACTGTCTTCGGATTCTTGGACTTCTAGATGTCTACAGATCCTCGAATGTGCCTTCCAAGTATGTCTCAAGTTCTTAAATTGTGGAATTATTGAAGCTTTATATCCTTAGCTCTTTACGTTGATTGAATGCTTAAACTCCATATCCTTATCCTTAAACTTAATTCATCCCGAGATTTTCAAATTCGCAGCTCCGTGGGCTCGGCGTGTCCTTGCAGAAGTGTTTCGTGCGGAAGTGAAATTACATCTCGCCAAACTAACTGAAGTATGGGACATCAGCGTATCGTCACATCATGTGATATCAGCAATTATATCTAGTAATCTTGTGCCACCTCCAAATACCCTCCAAGCGCATTCTTCTTCATCGCCATTGTGCAAAGCAGCATCTTCCTATGACTCATAAGAACATTGTTTTGCCCCCGTCCCCCCCTTCTAACATTTGCATACGCGAGGTACGAGATACGAGGTACAAGATACAAGGATCAACGATGATCCTTCGTCTCTCGTTACCTTTATCGTTCTCAAGGAACACGCAAGTCCAGCGGTATCTTCCGATGATCACCGAGCAACGTATCGTCCTACAGGTTGTCGAATTAGATGTGCAGATAGTGACACGCCGGGGCCATTTTTCTAATCTATGAAAGGTTTAGATCTAGTTCTGCCGCCCTGCTGTGTGAAACACAAAAAGAGAAACCGAGCAAAGAAAAATGCAACAACATATAGATATATTATGATTATGATATAAGGAACGATAGCTAGTTACGCTAGCAATCACTCTCATTCTCATTTTCTCTCTTTCAAGCCGTCCATCAAACCAAACCTCCACCTGGATGGTCACGTTCAATAAACTGCATTTTACACGGGTACGCCGCGGGTACGATCTCGAGCAATTTAAACCACATTCCTCACGGTCTGCCAGTCGAACGGGACGAGGGATCTTCCAAACGCACGCAGCTTTCTGTCAATCAAAAAGTTTGTCTCACATGTGCACCCCTCCCCCCCCTCCTACCTTCTCATATCTCTCTTCATCTCCATAAAGAAAATTCCAATGTAAAATTATGTTATCGAAAGAAAAACAATTGAAAATTGTTACCATACAAACGCCTCATACCGAAACTGGAATCGTCATCTCAGTTTACCACGTAGTACACCGATAATTACCGGATAACCAGTTTAAAAATCAAAATATATACATTTCCAGGTTATTTTTTTACCGGATCAATAGAAAGTTCCGCTCAATTGGTATTGATTTACTCTTGCTATTTGTGATATGTGTATCCTTATCATACTTATATATAATAATATCCTTCTTTTTCCTTTGTGCGTTTATGTACGATTTTTCCCTCTTCATATGTGAAATCATTTCCCTCGATTCATTTCTGGTATAGACTTAAATCCTTAGAGTGGCAGGCTAAGACCGGGATTTCGGAATCCATAAAAATACCCTTTTTAAATTTTTGAATTCCCTAGACTTCAATTCCGAAAGCTTTGGATGGTCAAGATTCTTGGACGTACGCAGGACGATTTCTCCGAGTTCCAGGATACTCGCTCTCCAAGCTCTCTTGAATTCTCGAATCTTCGAATTTTTTACAATGGACATTAATATTGCGATATTGCGTTTGAAAGATTAAGATGCATATCGTCTATTAAAAATTGAATAAGGTTCAATTCCTAAGTTGAGATCAATGTTACCGAGAGTCGAGATAAACCTAACGCTTCCACTTCTCAATATACAACGTATACTCTTGCGCGTATACTCTCTTTACATCGACAATTTTTCGCATCCTTCGCTTGCGAAGTCCCCGGTATCTCCCGAACGCCTCTTACGCGCTTCGAATATCTAAAACACACGCGTCAACGTCCTATCCTGGTCGTGGGTCTCGGCACGGTCGAAGGCAGGTTGAACGCAGATCTATGGACACATTATTATGGCAACGCCGAACAAGCGTATAGGTGACATCTTTTATATCAAACAAGAGAAATATTTCGGTAACTCAAATAGGTTATTCGCATGCTTGCATGACGAGTTACCTTACTTGAAGTATACCTGCAACCTGTAGGGTAAACGGGTGCAACTCCGCATCATTATCCTACATTACTCAATGAGAATGTAACTTGTTCTGGACCTGAGAGAATGACCGATTCGGGAGAGTGACGGTTCACCGTATGAAAGCCATGTTTTCTCATCGTCGTGGGTTATCACGACGATTCGTGCAGAGGATAATTTTGCTTGTGCGCCGATTCAACCAGCCTCTAGAAACACAGACTCTTTCCCTCCCTCTCTCACTCGAAACGCAGATATACTCCCCTATGGTTCTCTTTTCTTTCGCTCGTTGCAATCTTATAGGTACGTTTTCTAAGCCGGTGACGACGACGTCGTCGTCCACCCATTGGTAGCCGTAGCCCTTCGTTCACGCGATAAGATGTATTTTCTATGGATGCTTATGTGCCAGACTGAAAACGATTGACGGAATTAATAAGTTGGTGAATAGAGAAGTTAAAAAACAGAGTAGTTCTACATTGTTACTTGCAAAATGTATTTATTTATTTTACACTCCTCTCAATACTTCTCACCTCGTCTTCTTACGTAATCTGTATCACAAGGTTTTGTACTTACAAATGTATTTAATAAAAATTAAAAGTATCACAATGGCTTTCGGCTTACAATAATTGAGATCCTTTGTCTTCGTTACCTTGATCCTAAACAGCATAAAACCATCTTAGAAATACTGCGAGAAAAAAATCCATCAATATCGAGAGCTGGCCTGGTAAGTTGTGATTAATACGTAAAATTTTGTAATTGATTAACAATTCGATAAATAAAAAAATATCTTAATCTTTTCTGAAAATTAATCAATTATTCATTATACTGTTTAGGATCAAGAGAAGTTAAATGCTACACACTGATAGAATTATTATCACAATGCAAGGCAGTCTTACAATACATCTATATGATTTTACAAATTTAAGGAACTTGAAAGTACTTCTAAATAAAAAGTATTTCAACGTGAAAACTTCTCCTCCTTTCCGCAAGTATTTTACGTTAAGTATATACATACGTTAAAAATATAAATAGATAAGACAAACTCTAGATAGTGAAAGTACTTTGGTTTCGATACAGTTTACAAACCAAATCGACGATCAGGCAGGAGGGCCGATGTGTGTGTGTGTGCGTGCGCGCGTACGAAATCCCAAGGTATCGCCTGCACTTGATTACAGCAACTCTTTCTCTCTTTCTCTCTCTCTTTCTCCCTATCCCTTTCTTTCCACCCGCATCCGCCATCTCAAACGGTGAGACTGCAAGTAAAAAATACCCAGATATATACCAGGGTAACCATGAAACTGCAAAGATTGCCGCAATGCTGCAGGACTAATTGGCCAAGTCTTCTAGGATACGCCGAGGTCGCCTCCATATTGGACTCCACCCAGAATACATTGACCCAGATCTCGGCTCGCGAGCCGACCATTTCCTATTCCGCCTGAGCAAGACAGAAGGAGGGGGGGGGGGGGAACAAGCAGAAGAGATACGTGGCACCATCCATGGATCGTCTTATCGGTACACGTTCATTATACAGTACGCCGCAGTCGGATTAAACGCACTATTGGGAGTTAATGCGACGGAAAATTTTTGATGGCGCGGCCCCCTCGGTTCAGACAAGCTCGGACAAGCCTGACGCCGTGGGGAAGGGTGGGGAGTCCTTCGCCGAGCAGATCCCCACGGATATAACGCTCCAACGACCATTCATGGTGGGGGAAACACAAGGCCGCATACTCTCCACCAGCTTCTCGTCACCGATGCACGGACGACTTGACTTCGCTAAGCTGCTGCAGGAAGTCCACCATGCTGCTGAGATCCTCGTACAGGTCGTCGGGCAGGTTCTGCCGCCAGAAATTCGTGTCCCTCAGGTTGGAACACTGGCCGTTCATCTCGCACTCCCGCTCGGTCGCGTTGTACCTGCCGCAGCTGCCGTACTCCACGCCCTTGAGCAGATGCTTCCTCAGGCGTCGCCAGCGGGCTATCCTCGACAGTTGCTTCGCCCGCAGCTCGTACTCCGCCTTGTGCAGGGCGTGCGTCAGCACGGCCTCGACGCGGAAGTCGCGCTTCGGGCTCCGATGGCACATGAGCTTCTTCTGCCGCACAGTGGTGATCCAGCTCGCGAGCTGCTCCGTGTGGCTCGGCTTCCCCATCTCGATCTCCCGCGGCCGATCGCGATTGTCCCGCGCGACTGACGCCGACAGTTGCGTCACACTCCCGTAGCGAGTAGGAACTATCCGCCCCATCCGTAACAACTAAGGTATTTTGGACTAATTATCGAGTTAAAACCAACCTGTATCTAACTCGCGCCTAGTCGATCGCTCTCGCCCTAGCGAACACGGGCATCCGTCCCGTCCCCGTCGCCGCTTGCGTTGCGTTGCGTCGCGTTGCGTTGGCCCTGGGAGGGAGAGGCGCACACGAGCGAGATCCAGCCACACCGTTCGGAGATGACTTAGGCAATGGCCGCGCGGCGCTTCTGGTGGGGCTTTATATACCCGACCAGCCGTCGCTTAGGCGTAACCCTCCGCGCTGGCGCGCGAAGTAGTTCCCGGTTTGCGACGAAATATACGCTCGACGCCGCGAATTTTTCACGTTTTGGCGGTGCAGTTCGTTAATTTGGGACAGACAGGATCGTTTGGGGCGGAATTGAACGCGAATTATTGCCCGTGAGGAAAAAATCGATGCGGCCCAGAAAACGGAGCTGCGGCGTAGGAAATGAGTCGCAGGGCGCGGCGCGGTCCCCTCTACGTCGCAGCTGCCGCGCGTATACCGTTACGGATGAAACCTCGACATTCTCGACGTCGCCATTATCTTTGGAGACGTACAGTCGTTCGCAAAAATTTATAGATTTGACACGGTATATAAAAGGGAAAAGAAAAGGCAGCCAGAAAACGATTTTCTGTTGTCGTTTGCACGCAAAATCTGTTTCTTTGCAGCTTATATTATATATTTTCTGCGTTTAAAATGGAATAGGTCAGGGGACGTTGGGGGGAGAAAAGCATAGGAGAGATGAACGATGAAATAATTCGGTTACAAAGAAACTAAATGTCAGAGTTCCGCGAAATTCTTTCATGGGCGAGCAATATATTTCCAAGGAAAAATAAAAGAATGTAAAGCGTCTCACGAAAATACGTATTTTATATTGAGCGTATAACTATGTGGGGGACTGTACGACGTAAGATATATTAAATGTGAAATAATTTTATATTAATTAACTCTGACATATAAATTATAATTATTACATACTTTCACATTTAAAAAAAATTTAGCTCAATCTTACGGCTAATTTTTTAAGAATATTCTCGTAGCTGAATTTTATCTTGTACTGCACGATTTTATCGTTCAAGATATATATTTTTAGATATTGAATTGTTTGTCTGAATCTCCAATAGTAGATATATTTGCTAATTCGGCTTTTTCTTGACTCAAGAAGAAATAGCCTTGAAAAATATTCGTCATAATACGTCCATATAGGTTTTCTTTCTCTTGTATAATCTTTATTCGTATATGT